GACAGGCCCGTGGTGTGTCCCACTTGGACTCCTTGCTGGTACCGCAGCCTCCCACCATCACAGTGTGCGTTCTGCTCATTCATCAGACTCCTGAATGTGGGCTAGCCTGTGGGGACCCTCAGCATCGTCACGCTTGCCTGCCTCAAACTCCTTGGCCAGTCTCGACACCAGCTCTGGTCCCCCTCTGCTCATCTATACCCCTGTTCCCCTCCCTCCACACCTGTATCCTGGGAGCAAACCCCAGTCATCACATCATTTGATCTGTGGCCATTTCAGCACGGGATTGAAAAATAAGGAAACCTTTAAAAGACCACATTTTCATTTTAAAAGTCTACCACGATCATTTCTAAAAGTCATGAAGGATAATTCCTTAAAATCAACAAATATCCAGTGTCCACGTTTATTGATTTATTGACAGAATTGTGTGTGTGAATCAGAATCCAACTAGATGCACGGGTTGATCTGCTTCTTTTTCCTGTTTTAAGTTATAGGTTCCATTGCTGTGTGACTTTCCTGTTGGTGCATTGATAAAGAATCCACCTGCCAATGCAGGAAACGTGAGTTCAATCCCTGGGTTGGGAAGATCCCCCGGAGAAGGAAATAGCAACCCACTCCAGTATGCTTGCCTGGGAAACTCCATGGACCGAGGAGCCTGGCAGGCTGCAGTCCACGGGGTCGCAAAGAGTCAGACATGAGTGAGCGACTGAACAGCAACAGTCCCCTGCAGGGTTTCTCTCTCTGCTTCTCTGTCTCTGAGTTAGATCAGGAAACAAACACATCACATGATCAGGGAAATAATCAGGGGTTTCATACAGGAAAGTGGGTGGGGCTGGACCATGGACATCTCGAAGGCTGGGACCACAGGCTGTGAGAAGCAGTCACTGCCCGTCTGGACCCCGGTCACTCACCCACTGGTGTGGGTGCAGACACTGGGGAAGCGCTTGATCCAGTGTCACCTAGGGAGGATGCAGTGGGGTGGGGCAGACGGCCCAGCACAGCCCACCCCACCCCTTTAACTATGCTTAACTTCTTGGGGGAGCCGCAAGTAGTTTGTGTGAGAGGTGGTCCCAGGAAGCACTACCTAGAGATGGGGAAGTGAGACAGAAAGGAAAAGACTCTTGAGAATTCGCTTCTGCCTGGCTTTGAGCCGTCTGGTCCTCAGCTTGCCAGCCCCCAACCTCCATGGGTTACCATGACAACAGCAAGATGTTTGCAGTTGCCCCAGAGAGGGTGACTTGAGGGGGAGGGGACAGGCTGGCAGTCGGGGTGTGGGAGGGTTGGTGTAAACCCACTCTTGACTTGGAGAGGGGGGCAGGAGGGAGGCAGGCGAGGAATGACGTTGCACTAAGTACCGGGGTCACTTCCTGCGTTTCCGCTGGGCCCGCTATTGGTGCAAGTGGACACACAAGACAAAAATATGCCTTGATCCCCACATGGAATTAGTCACAGTTTTCCATGGGTCTAGTGCAGAATTGGGGAGTTGTTTTCCAATCTGAGTGCTCCGTTGTCTCCTCTTTGTGGGAGTCCATGTTTCTGAAACTTTCTGGCAGAAGTAGCTGTTTTCCAGATAACACTCAGAATTGTTTAGCTCCTCGTAGAGCTGTTCAATCTGGAATTTCCCCCCCGAGGCCTGAGCCAGCTGAACAGATTATGCTGATTGGTACATGTGTGTATTTCAAGTCATTAAAAATTGAAGAAATAAAATTCCAGTATCTTTTAAAATAAATGATGTAAAATGCATCTAACAGAAAACTTGACATTTTAATTGTGGTTTGTTTTTTTTAAATACATTTTTAAAGTTTTGCTGTCCCGGGTCTTTGTTGCTTTGAGTGGGCTTTCTCCAGTCGCGGTGTGCAGGCTCGCATTGCGGTGACTTCTCTCGTCGCTGCCGAGCAGGGGCTTTAGGCGCGCGGGCCTCAGTAGTTGCAGCACGTGGGCTTGGTAGTTGTGGCGCATGGACTTAGTTGCCCTGCGGCACGTGGAATCCTCCCGGACCTGGGATCGAACCTGTCCATGTCCCCTGCATTGGCAGGTAGATTCTTACCCACTGGATCACCAGGGAAGTCCCCATTTTAACCACTTTTAAGCGTACAGTTCTGTGGCCTTAAGTACATTCAATGGTGCTGGGCAGCCATCTCCTCCATCATCTCCCAGACTCTTTATCTAGTAAAACTGGAACTCCATCCCCATTAAACATGATCTCCCTGTCCCCTTCCCCAGTCCCTGGCCCCCACCATCTTATTTTCTGTCTCCATGAATGTGACGACTCTACGGACCTCATATGAGTGGAGTCGTGCGGCATTTGTCCTTTTGGGACTGGCTTATTTCACTTCGCATTACGTGCTTGAGGTTCATCCATGTGGTGCAGGTGTCAGAACTTCCTTCCTCTTTAAGGCAGAACGACATTCCATTGTACGGATGGACCATATTTTGTTTATCCATTCATCTGTCGATGGACACTTGGATTGTTTCCATGTTTGGTTTGCAAATACCTGTTTGAGAGCTTGCTTTCCATTCTCTTGGGGAAATACCCAGAATCAGAGTTGCTGGATCACGTGATCGTTTTATTTCTAATTTTTTGGGGGGACTATTTCGCTCCCCATCTTACATTCCCACCAACACTGCACAAAGCTTCCAATTATGCCACAGCCTCACCAACACCGGTTATTTTCTATGCTTTTTTTCACAGTAACCATCCTAATGGGCGTGAGGGGATCTCTTAATTTAACTTTTGAATACAGAAAATAATATCTTTCTACCTAACAGAACCCCATTGTCCCCTGTAGAATCAAAGACATACTAATTCTCCGTCCAAAAAAGCAGATGCAAAGGTCCACCTCTGGGCAGTGTTTTCTAGCTGAGCTGCAATCCCCTTCTATAACTTGTGACTTGAAATACTAGATATTGGTTGAACCAGTGTATTTTTTTAAATTAAAAGCATTTATGTAAGTATTCAGTTGTTCTGGGTCTTACTTGCTGTACTCAGGATCTTCAGTTTTGACATGTAGGATTTAGTTCCCTGACCAGGGACTGAACCTGGACCCCCTGCACTGGGAGTGCAGCGTCTTAGCCACTGGACCACCAGGGAAGTCCCTTGAGCTGCTATTAACCTACTTTTTAGTCGTTGGACTATCAGCTGGATCTGGGGAGAAAACACAGACAGCTTTAGTCCTATAATTCCAGCTAGGTGGACACACCTTTCTCCTCTATTCATTCTATACCCAGTCCCCTTGCCCCATCTCAGCTCATCCTGGTTCTCTGCCTGGTGAGGTGCCCAACACTTCATTCCTGAAGGATCTATGCCCTTCATGGGTCATTTAGGCTTCCCCTAGGTTTGTACTGCAGGACATGAGAGTTCTCAGGGATGCCCCAGAGAATCTTCTGGACTCCAGGCGTAGGCTCTCTGTGGCGTTCCCCCTTGGAACCAGGACCAGTCATACCTGCTGGTACAGTAACCCCCTACTTCATCTCTTCTTTAGGAGCAAAAACGGTATTCTGGAAACAGCAAAGCGTCATCACTCAGACAGTGAAGGGCCATCCCTTTGTTCAGTGATGCTTAGGACGATGGGGAATGTGGTGACTTAGAGGCGCCAGCGGGCTTAATTCTGATGATGCCCTTCATTTTTGGAGAAGTGAGTTTCTTGATGAGAAGCAGTGTGTGTTGTGGGCATATAATAATGGCCAAGGAGCTTCCAGATATCCACAGATGGAGGTTTCCTCAGAAAACTTGCTGGTAGGGAAGGCACATTCCTGTTCAGAGCAAGTGGTTATTCCAGGAAAATCAAATCGGTGCCCTTTCCATGATAGAAGTGGTCCAGTCAAATCAACCTGCCGCCAGTTGGCTGGCAGTCCCCTGGGGAATGATGTCCTCCTATGGGGTAGCTGGGCATATGGCAAAGGTTGGGGGGTTTGCTGGTCAGTTTTGGTGCAGAGAAGCTTAGGTTGCTGGGCAAAGCAGGGTGGCTGGGGACACAGGCTGGCTGATGCCATCAGACAGACCATCTTGTCCCTCTGATGACAGACAGCCTCCTCCGTGAAGATGGCCTCTGGTCAGCACTTACATGGGACACAGACACCTGTCCAGCTGCCTTGCGCCCACTCCGAGAGGTTCTTTCTCTGGCCTCTTCTCCTGACCTCCTGTGACTAATCATCCAATCTTGTTCCTTCCTAGTCACTGACCATCCATTCAGCCCTGCTCATAAGTCAGTGTGGACGCACATCTCTGACCTTCTCTCCTTACAAATAAAAGGAACAACCAGTCACATGTCTGAAATTCTGTCCCCACTCCCTTCAAGACCACCTCCCTGGAGCTGCAGAGTTTCAGCTGTCTATTCTCAGGTGATACCGGCATATCATTCAAGCCTGAAGTCTTTCTTCCTGGTGCTCTGTTCATTTTTATAAGGGGATTGGGGGAGATGGAAACATGATAGCATCACTGTTCCATCTTCCTCAAACTGCCTTCGAGTCCACTTGAAATAGAAATGGTACTGAAGAACTGATGCTCTCAAACTGTGATGCTGGAGAAGACTCTTGACCTTGGACAGCAAGGAGATCAAACCAGTCAATGCTAAATAAAGGAAATCAACCTTGAATATTCACTGTAAGGACTGATGCTGAAGCTGAAGCTCCAGTCCTTTGGCTGACTGATGCGAAGGGCCGATTCACTGGAAAAGACCCTGATGCTGAGAAAGATTGAAGGCGAAAGGAGAATGGAGAGGCAGAGGGTGAGATGATTGGATAGCCTCACCAACTCAATGGACATGAATTTGAGCAAACTCTGGGAGATGGTGAAGGACGGAGAAGCCTGGCGTGCTGCAGTCCATGGGGTTGCAAAGAATCGGACACAACTTAGCGAGTGAAAAACAACAGCAGCAGAAGCATCTGTTCTGAAAGTCCTGGGTTGCTAGCAGCTTGAGGCAGGCTCTTCTGCAGAAACGAGCAGTGCTACAGAGCAGAGCAGGAGACCCGCAGGGACCTGAGTCTTTCTGGCCCCCACTGACCGGCTGCCAGGCCCAGGGGGAGAGTTGTGGGCAGGGCCGCCGGCACAGCCCTCGGTGCACTTGACTGGGAGGGCGAGCGGGGCTGGGTTCCAGCTCCCGCCTGAGCCCTGGGCCCCATGCTGGTGCTGCTGCCCTCCCCGCTTCTGTGCTGGTGGGCTCACTGACCACGGGGAGGGCGAGACGGCCAGTCTCGAAGGCCTTTCTCTGCGGTGGGATTCCCTACCAGGGGGTCTGCAAAGGGGCCTCTCTCTGTGATGGTTAGAGCCATCCCAGGCGAATGCTTGCCCTCCTGGCTCTGAACCACCCCGAATCCCTCCCAGCAGAAATTCGGGGTTCCCTTACCTCTGTGATCACCAATACCACCTGCAGCCTCGCGTGGGGAAGGGCCTCGGGGAGCGGAGGCAGGTGGACAAGCAGAGCCAGGAGAGTCAAAGGGATGTAGCCAGTTATGGAGCCGCTGGCCTATCCTAGCTCAGCCCAGCTGGAGGGGCCTCCTGGTAGAGAGACCCCAGGGTGATGACCCTCTTGGAGGAGTCCCCCCAACCTTCCAACCTCTGCCCCAGACATAGGCTGCTCAGTTCCCCGATTGATACAGGCCTTTTCCAACCTCTGTGCTCATGAGCTCTCCCTACCTGCTGGTCCCTGGAGGAGTTCCACCATATTCAGGGTCCCTTTTAAATGTCATCTCCTCCAGCAGCCCTGCCAGGATAGGGCACATGTCCTGGAGCCACTCGATGCGAGATGAATGGGTTCAGTTCGGCTCCCTCAGCCAGCTCTGAGGGCAGTGAAATTCCCTTCCCAGCTCTGGGACATTGCCGGCTCTCCAAGGAACTCACATGTTCCTGAGTGGTGTGGGGACTTCCCCTCCACCCACAGAACAGACCTTGACCGTGACCTGCCAGGTCCGCTGGCCTGGCTTAGATCCCTGGCAGGACCCGCCGTCCTCAGCCTGGATGCCTTCCAGTCCCTCCCTGTCCAGGGACCAGTTCCCTGGTCCTGGCAGCCTCTGTGCCTTGGGCCCACGCCCCAAGAGGAGCCTGGGCAGCTGGGCTGGCAGCAGGTTCAAAGTCCGGGCCGCTTCCAGGCGGCTGGGGGGTCTGCTCCGTCCCTGCCCCGCAGTCTCCCGCTCACCTTGCCTGAGGCCTGAGGCCACCTCCCGCTCAGCCCTTGTTCTTTCTTTCTTTTCTCTCGCTCTCTTTTAATATTTACTTGTTTATTTGGCTGCCTCAGCTTCAGTTGCTGCACGTGGGATCTCCCGCTGACCCTGCTCCAGCGGGTGGACTCTCTAGTTGCACTGGGGGCTTAGCTGCCCTTTGGCATGTGGGATCTCAGTTTCCTGACCAGGGGTCAAACCCGAGTCCCCTGCATTGCAAGCACTCAGCCCCTGGACCACTAGCCCCTTTTCTGTGCTGTGCCTTCCCTTTCTCCATTCATCACCTGAGGGCAAAGGGGCCTTTCAGATACTAGAGGGGTAGTTTTGCCTCAACCTTCGACACTCTGCTTGCCCTTGGGTAACTTGCTGATGTGTGAAGAAGTGTGTTTCGGTTCATACAAGTTTCCAAGGGCAACTTCTCCCAAGAGGATCAAGCCTATTGGGTCTCCCTGGGCTGTGCGGTAGTAGTTGGCACTCTTGGAGACCATGTTGGCAAAGGTTTAGGCAAAGTCATCCCTGACGTTCGACTAGTATCACTATGGACGGTGTGGAGGTGACTTTCAGGACAGGGATTCTATCTGGAGTGAACGATGCCTGTCTACTGTGTATCATGTGCATCGCCTACGATATTGCCCAGGCCCATCTGAAGTATCTGCAGAAGCTGAAGTTCAGCTTTAAGACGGTGGTGAGCTGTGAGGTGTGCAGCCTGGGGACTGGTGTGAACTCACCTGATGTGCTTTGCTGGGACTGAGCAGGTGGAAACCTTGGCTGAGTTGCTGAGGCATAGTGGCTTCACTCAATCTCCTTAGAAAGGATTTTATGTGAACGCTTGGTCACATGTTCAGTGATTTTCACAACTTTTCAAATCCCTTGCCTGCCATAACCCTGGCAGGTACAACTGACAATAAAGGAAAAGTTGGGGAGGGTCTTATTGTGTCTAGACTGGTCCAATAAAAGAGTCTTGCAAGCCACGTTAGAACGTCTGCCTTACTGGTTCCCCCTGGGAAGGAAAAAATGATCTTCTACCCTTGTTTCTAAGTGTTCATCTTTAGTTTTGGAAAAACGTTAAGCATTTATTTTGAAGTCAAAATAAAAACTAATTTCATACTAAAACAAAAAAAAAAGATACTGCAGGATACAAATGGAGCCAGGTGACCCCACCCACAGCCCCTTTTAAGGCATGGGGTTGAGACATATTTGCACTGCGTCACCTCCAGTCCCAAGGGATTCCCAGGGGGCATCTGGTCTCCTATGGGGAGGAGGTGTCTGCCTCCTCCCCCTCTAATCCACTGCCTCCAACCACCACACTTGAAAAGAAGAAATCTCATCGTGTTTGTCTCCCGAGCTTCAGACCCTCCAGATGCACCCTGTTGCTCTCAGAAGAAGCTACCCCTTAGCTTGGATGCCAAACTCTGTGGGGTCTGCTGCTGCCCCCTCATTCTACCTCGGCCCCTCCCCTCCATCTCACTGTCCTCAGCCTGCTCTCGCTCCCCTTAAATGCCATGTCCCCTCCTGCCCTGACCCTCATCCTGGCCAACTCTTCCTCATCCTTCAGACCCCAGCTAAAATGTCACCTCCTCCCAGAGGCCCTCTCAGACCATCTCACGTAAAGATGGTCTCTCTGCGTAGGTTTTTTGGAGTCGAGATTTTTGTTTGTTTGTTTTGCTTTATTAAGTTTTAAGTAATTGATTTATTGAGTTGAGCTGGGCCTTAGTTTAGGTATGTGGGATCTTCAGTCTTTGTGGTGGCATGCAGGATCTTTTAGCTGTGACATGCAAACTCAGTTGCGGCTTGTGGGATCTAGTTCCCTGACCAGGCATCGAACCCCCTAAAAGCACAGAGTCTTAGTCACTGGCCTACCAGGGAAGTCCCTAGAATTCAGATTTAATGAATTTTCTTACCATAAAAATCCCATGTACAGAGGAGCCTGGCAGACTACAGTTCATGGGGTTGAAAAGAGTCAGACAAGACTGACCACACACACACACACACACACACACACCCCATAAAACTCACCCTTTTAAAGTATACAATTCAGTGGTTTTTAGTATGTTCATAAGGTTGTGCAACCACCATCACCCTCTAATTTCAGAACACTCTCATCACCCACAAAAGAAACCTCCTATCCATCAGCAGTCACTCCCCATCCTCCCTTGCCCCAGGCCCTGGCAATCACCAACCTGCCTGTCTCTTCTCTGTGGGTTTACCTCTCTTGGACATCTCATATGAATGGAATCCTACAATACAAAATCTTATGCATCTTATTCTTCCACTTAGCATAATTATTGTCAGGAGTCAGCACTTCATTCTTTTTTATGGCTAAATAATATGCCCTTGTGGGGGCTTTCCAGTTGGGGCAGTGGTAAAGAATCTGCTTGCCAATGCAGGAGATGACGAGACCTGGATTTGATCCCTGGGTCAGGAATATCCCCTGGAGGAAAAAACAGCAACCCATTCCAGTACTCTTGCCTGGAAAATCCCGTGGACAGAGAAGCCTGGCAGACTACAGTCCATGGGGTCCAAGAGTCAGACACAACTGAGCGACTAAGAACACAACGTACTCACCAACTCCCAGAGTTTACTTGAACTCATGTCCATCGAGTCGGTGATGTCATCTAACCATCTCATTCTCTGTCGTCCCCTTCTCCTCCCACCATCAATCTTTCCCAGCATCAGGGTCTTTTCCGATGAGTCAGTTCTTCCCATCAGGTGGCCAAAGTATTGGAGTTTCAGCTTCAGCATCAGTCCTTCCAATGAATAGTCAGGATTGATTTCCTTTACGATGGACTGGTTGGATCTCCTTGCAGTCCAAGGGACTCTCAAGAGTCTTCTCCAGCACCACAGTACAAAAGCATCATTGTCCCAACCCACCACCCAAACCCTGTCTCCGGCTCCCAGCCCAGGGGTACCTGGGTGTGCTCGCCTGCCCTGGAAAGGCCTCGGATTCCTCTCAGCTTGACACGGCCCCCCATCGCCCAGGCTCTCATTTGGGCTCCCCACGGGCCTTCTCTCCAGCAGGCACCCCAACCCCGAAGCCTTCTGGGCTCTGCCCTCCTGCCCTCGCTCTGCCGACCTCCATCACCCACAACCCTTCCCTTGGCCGCCACCCCAAGCCTCTCGGTTCCCAACGCGACCAATGACCCGGGTCTCCCCAGATTCCTGCTGTTCGTGTCATGTGTGGGAGAACTCAAAATAGCCAGTGCAGCCTATGCCCAGCCTGGGAAGTAGATGGCTTTCCCAGGGGCTGGTCCCCAGGGCACACATGAGGTCTTGCTCACCAATGCCCCAGCTTTTGGCCCCATGCTCAGCTGACATACTCTCTTCCCAGGCTCGGGCAGGCTTCATGTCCATTGAGTTCCTCACTCACTGTGTGGCTGTAGACAAAGCATGTGGCCTCTCTGAGCCTCAGTTTCCCCAAGTGCAAAGGTAGGATCGTTGCTTTGCTAATCTTGGTGGTCATTTCAGGACTGAAGTGCAACAAGGGCCTTGAGAATTCTTTCTGATCTTAAAACACTCAGTTACATTTCTCCCAGAGACGGTGGAGGAGGGAGGCAGGGGAGGAGCAGGAGCAGGGTCTGAGACCCTTGTGAGTCCTTTGTCTCTGCAAATGGGCGTGGCCACTCTTGGTTCCATTTTATGGAAATAGAGACTGAGGCTTGGCCAGGGGGTGGGGCTACCTGAGCTCAGGACAGTGGTTGTGGACAAGGATATGAATTCAGAGCTGAATGATTTCCCCTTTGAGGACAGGTTGTTTAAATGTTTCTCTACATGCTTTTTTTGTTTTTGGTGTTGCCTTACTTGCATATGGGATCTTAGTTTCCTGAACAGGAATTGAACCCGTGTCCCCTGCTTTGGAAGTGCTGAGTCTTAACCACTGCACCACCAGGGAAGCCCTTTCTCTGTGCTTTTAGAAATCATTTGTTTTCAAGAGCAGCTTTTGTCTTATTCAATCAACAAGAAATGAT